ACAACCACAATTTTCAATTTTATGAATATCTCAAAGTTGTTAATATTTAGATCATTATAGATTTGAGTGACTTCAGTATTTTCACTCATACTCCTGAAACGACATAGACGACATCTGCTTATTCGAAGATTTTTTCTATGATAAGCCGTGAGAGCATTTCATTGTCTATTTATTCATTATTCTATGCTGGGAGTATTTTTGTTCGATTGGCTTCCTTACTTCTAGTCCCACGGTTGATCCGTCCAAAATTATGTTTCTTCGGGTTGAACTTCATTCCTCAGCGACGCATTTTGCTGTTTAGGATTTCAATACATGTTTAGGATGTTGATAAGTGTGCGGAGCTCAACATAATATATATATATGAATTTTAAAGCTGACGCTGGGGGATATTAAAGCCCTTTCAAAAGAAAGTTTTTACTAAACTGCATATTATCAAAAATATGGTAAAAGTTATTGTTTTTCAAAGTTAAAAATCCGAAAGAAAAAATTTTATAGAGTGACTGAATTTGCGACAACTTTCATCTTTAATAATTAGTAGGGATGTCACTGGTAAAGATTCCAAACGAATGTGGTTTTAATTCCGAAAATTGTCTTCGGTTTTAAACCACTTTGGAAGTTCCAATTGAAATTGTATTTTTATGGTATACAAGTATCATTAAAACACTTTCAAGTAATAAAAATATGATAGCAGAAAAATACAATTAAATTTACTTTTTTTATTTATTTAAAATAATTAGCAAAATTTAATTGTTTCTCAATTGACGAAGCAAATTTTTAACATCATTTACGTTTTAATCATTTAGGGGCAAGCACAAAAGTTTATTTATTAGTTTCAATTAAACTTGTTATTAAAATGTTCACCTTGCACTGGGGTAGGACAAGTGGTCCGAAGCAAATTTGAAATTCATTACCGTTCATTACTTTGCGCCACAATTACAGACATTGTGTAAAAATTAACAAAATTAATTTTATTTTCGAAAAAAAAAAATCTTTCCACTTCTACAGTGTTTTCTAATCAAGTGGTTTGTTTTGATTTCTCATTCATTCGTTCCAAGGTCGGCCAAGAATACTACTTTGACATTGAAACTTAGTAGTTTTTGCCTTATTGAGATGTGACTCTCTTTGAATTTCAAAGCACAATATGTCTTTTGGCGGCAAACTTGATTGTCAGATGGGCTTACTGGCCGACCTTATGTGGGCCATGATTCGTTCTTTCATTTCTCTAATGTTGCCGTATTTACATTGAATAATGAGATTTTCGTAATTCACCAAATCGATCGGAATCTAAAGATGCTAAAACAAAAACGATCGATTTTGAATTACGAAATTCAAACTATTCCGATTCGATTTTGTTGCATGCCTATATACATACATAGTTTTTAATAATATTATCATTCAAAATGCGTGTATTTATATATAAATCAATAAAATTTCTGATTTTATATATATGTAGAAATATTACAAACTCCCAATGCAATTGAAGTTTTTCTGGCGGAAACTACTAGGTAGCAGCATTTTTCCTTTTCAGTTAATTTTCAAGAGGAATCTTTGGTTTTAATAGCAAACCAGGGAAAAGTGAGAGATTCCACACGGAGTTTTTATTCATAATTTGACTGAAGTGTCGCAGCCATACCTAACCCTAAATTTACTAGCATAATTCATAAACAATAATATAAATACACGCTGTGCTTAGTTTTTTGCATTGCAGGATTTTTTGTTCAGTATTTCATTGTGAACATTTAAATAACAAGATTAATTTTAACTTATAAAAAACTAGTTGGCCCGGTCCACGTTGCCGGCCCGAAGTTTTAGTCTTTAATGAAAATTTTGGCTCATAAAGGTGCACAAATTTTATTATAAATATTAACTCGACTAAATAGAAATAAATACCTATGGAAGGAAGGAAAATAGTCGAAGTTAATTACGCTTTTACCATAGCACATAGCACATATACACCCACTACCATAGCACCTCAAATTGTACATTAGAGTACCCATAAAGTCTATGTTCTTGTTCATAGTAAAATTCAGTGACGATTAAACTATGCCCATGTGTTTGTCCGCCAATAGGTAATAATCACTATAGATCGGCGGACCTAGGGAATATATAGGGACTGTACCAAAATATCTACCTATGTTAAAATTTTTCTGTAAGATGGTTTTATACTCTCAAAGTAGCCTAAATTGATTGGAAAATGTGATCAAGACCCTCGAAATAGAGAAGCCAAGATGCTAAATAATGGCCAAATCCATAGAAAAACCTGGCTCAATGGTTATAATTTTCTGAAAGGAGATTTTCTTCAATTTCGTAGGATATGTATCCTTATTAAAAATTAAAATTAATAGAAAAAAAAAAAACAAATTTAAAAAATCTTGAACTTGTTCGCGGATTTTTTACAGCAAAAACTATTCAAAAAAAAAAAAAAAAAAAAACACTGCAAATGTACCTTTGAAAATAGTAGGTCAAATTAAAAAAAAAATCATGCAAAATAAAACATTAAAATTGTACATTCCAAAAGTGTTTCAAATTTATCATTTTACGTGATTTTCTTTTTTGGATTTTGAATCGTTAACATCAGACCAGCGGTTCTTGAGTTATAAGCGTAGTAACTAACTAATTTTCAGATTAAATGAAACCTTTTGCAATTGCAATGAAACTTTTTGCAGTGGAAATGAAACCTTTTGCCACCGAAATGACAACTTTTGCAACCGAAATGAAACTTTTTGCAAATCAAATGAAAATTTTAGATTTACAGAAGGAAAAGTTATAGAACATTTTATTTTTAGTAGGTTTAAAATTTAATCAACTAATTATAAGTAATATTTAGTTAAAGAGGAATTTGTATTGATTACTAATACCTATTTATTTATAATATTATTTCTTTACACTTAAAAAAATAACGCTCCCATAAAACGTAAGTGTAGATGCAGAAAGATTAAAAAAAATTTTCAAGGTCTTTCCTCCAAAAGACCCGAATTTGTTTCTCAATTGACGAAGCAAATTGATGCCACATCTTTTCTTTCTTTAAAATTAGATTTTTTCTTCCAATCTATTTGTGAAAACTAAATAATCTGGCCTTACGAATGGTAAATTGAAGCAAAGAAAAAAATGTAAAAAAGGAATTTGGTATATATGTATATATATATATATATATATATATATATATATATATAAATTTTAAAGAAAGAAAAGACGTGGCATCAATTTGCTTCGTCAATTGAGAAACAATTAAAATTTTCTAATTATTTTAACCAAAAGGAAAAAAATGTAAAATTGAACAACAAAAAAATGGAAATTATTCCCCCTTCCATTGTTAAATAAAACAATGTAAATCCACGTCTGGTTCCACATAATGGTTCCTCCAAATATTCGGTATTTTGATGATTTTAGCGTCATTATTCACCGTAGTAGTTTTAAATTACGTATTTAGAGTTCGCAATGGTAACTACAGTCTGTGACAGAAAATTGCCTATTGCCCTATAGGCCCCATATATAAGTACCTCGGTATTTTGACGATTTTAGGTACAATACTCACCGAAATTGTTTGAGATGTCGTATTTGAAGTTCGTAATGGAAGCTACAGCCTGTGACAGAAAATTGTCTTTGCAGGTCCAGGTCTTCGTATAGCTCCGATATCACAACGGTACCTCCTTATATACGGTATTTTGGCTACATTATTCACGGGTTATTTCAAGTTTCGAATTTGAATATGGTAATGGCTTGTGACAAACTATGCCAATGTAGGTGCGCGTCGTAAAGACCCTAATATAATGGCTATATTCGGTATTTTTAAAATGTTAACAAAATTTGTGGCGAATGTTATTTTTTTTCGAAAATTTTCAAATTCGTTCTAAATGGTGGAGGGTATTCAAAGTTCGGCTCGGCCGAACTTACTGCTTTTTTAACTTGTTATTACATGAAAGTGTTTTAAAGTTACAAGTTCCCAAAAAAATACAATCTCAATTGCGAATTCCGTAATTCTGAAGAAGCTAAATTAATTCCACTTTCGATTCTAATTCTAAGGGATTTTGGTTTGCTTCTTCAGTTTTCGATATTTCAATTAGTTTATCATATTTAAAAGACACATCTCTGAAGCTATAGGCTGCTAGTCATTTCAAAGTGCAACAAGTTGTTTTGTTAATTTGACAATTTTTCAAAATTTTTAGGGTAATTGCAAAAATAACTACCCATTAACTTTGTAAACAGAAATTTTAATCTCAACAAAATTTTAAAATGCTGTTAATAGTTGATCGGTTCCAGAATCTTCTAGTTTCGGTATCTTAAAGAAAAATCGGCTATCGTGGTGAATATTTTAATTATTGCGTGTTCTGAAACAGGTCAAATATTTGATATTAAATTACGTTTTAGTCAAGTTTTTTTATCCGAGTTGACCGAACAAAATAGCAAACACAAGGTAAATTAACTGTCTATTCAAAACAAAGTACCCACATCAAAAACTGTGTGTATTTTGTGACATTAGAAGGAAAAGTGCATTCAGATGTGTTATTAGGCCTGTCCCGTTAATTATTGTTCCATAGTTCCAAGCAATTCGAGATAAACAAAATTGAAATACCTTTTTCTCAAAACACTTAAATGGCGGATGTGTATATGTATGCCATCGAACTAAATCAATAGTAATTACTAATTTCAATATGGCTCTTCTCAATCGAACTCAGGATATGCAAATCGAATAGCCCAAAATGTTAATGCATATCTGATTTGTAATTGTTATTTTTGGATAGAGAATGATGGAAAGTAGCGCAAGGTAGTTAACGGAAGAAGCGCTAAGCTCTCGGCCCTTAAAAAGAACAATTTAACAAATAAAATAATTTTTTCCTTTTCTTTTTTTCTTTTTTAATGAAAATATAAGAATTAAGTAAAAGAAACACACAAACACATTAGAATCATTTATGTTAATGTACACCCAAATAAATAGTTCATAATACTCTTGTCTCTTTTCTTGTCTTTTTAATGTTTGCCATACCCCCATTCAACCAAAGATGGAAATAATGGAAAACGTTCAAAGTCCTGTATCGACACGCATTAGACTTTTAGGCTTTTATGGCAAGAATTTATAGAGTAGTGATGGTGTCACTAAATATGAATTGTAATCCTTTAGATAATTTGGAATTTGGAAATGCCTACATAACTATCTATGTAAGCATGTGTGTCTGTAAAGTTATACCCTATTTATATATGATGCCATATATTATACATACATACTTGATAAATACTCATAGAAATAATTTGTATCTATTTACATATGTATACAGATATTATTACATATTTCCGATAATAAAATATATATTATAAATTTTGAATAATTGTTAAAAAGATAAGAGTTTGAAATTGATGACTTCAATTTGTTACTTAACTAACTTAAAAATATATTGAAATATGCTGAAATTTTTATACGAAATATCAGAACATGTGAATGTTGAGAAACACACATGCGAAAGACATACTCGAATGTAATAGTATGAGATTATATCTGTGTGTGCATATTGTCACGTAATAGCCTGTTTTGTGTCCTTAAAATATTTATATGATTTTCTGCAAATATTGTTCAGTGCTAATAGAAACAGTCTTAATTGTTATATTCTATTCTAATTATTTTGTAAGTGATTTCACTTTTTGAATGTGTAATAATGACGATATAATAATAAAGATATGGGTGAATCATACACAAATCAAATGTGTATTCAATTTCTTTTCTTGTCGATTACAAAAAGGTAAGCTGAAACAGATTGCGGGTTTTACATATGATATTTTTACAGCGCAGGCCATTTGGCAACGCTACTAACATTAGATTAAATAAAATGTTAATTTCTAGATCGAAGGAGATTCTTAACTCTTTTTCAATCGAATGCAGATTATATTTTTGTTATTATTTTAATTCGCCGATTGTCTCACTTACGGCGTGATGATTCTGGTGACTCTGCAATGGACGATGAAGCAGTTTTACAACGTTACCTAAAATTCGATGTTGCGTTCACAAATACGCAAGTGGCTATCGTTAGAGCACTCAGGCATTTAAATGTGAATAAATCTTTTGTGTCTCATACCATCGCTCGTTACCGTGATGCTGCTAGCGTAGCCCGACGTCATGGAAGTGGACGAAAGAAAACAGCAACAGCAGCAATCAGCAGAAATGGTTCGAAAAGTAAAGAAGCGACTTGATCGAAACCCGCGTCGTAGTGGCCGAAAAATGACTCGTGAGCTGAACATATCGCAATATAGTTAAAAATGAGTTCGTGGTAAAGCCATTGAATTTCCAAAAAGCACAAGAACTTAAACCGCAACAGAAAGAAAATAGACTCAAAAGAGCTAAAGAGTTGCTTCGCTTGGCCGAAAGTGGTGAACTACCGAATTTGGGTTTCTCCGATGAGAAAGCATAAACAAAACAAAATGATCGTGTTTACTTGCCAAAGAGGTCAGCTGAAAATGTGCACCTTCGGTTGGCCATAGTGCTGATGTGGGCCACCATAACAACCCATGTTCGCTCTCTGCTCGTATTAATGGACCGTGGCATCAGAATAAATGCCGAATATTATCGCAAAAATATTCTGGAAGGTGTATTAAAGCCTTGGGTACGCAAACATTTTGGCCGCAGACCTTGGACATTCCAACAGGACTCAGCACGCGCCACCCAAGAATGGTTACAAAATGAGGTTGCTCCCTTCATTTCCAGCGCACAATGCCCACCAAAATCTCCGGATACCAATCCGTTGGACTATTCTATCTGGAGTATTTTGAAAAGCAAGGTTGGCACAAAAAAATACCAAAGTGTCGATCACATCAAGCAAGCACCTCTCCAGGAATGGGCCAAAATACCGCAGAGCAACATTCGGGCAGCGTGTGACGGTTTCATTGGTTGTTTGAAGGCCACAATTCGTGTCAAAGGTGACCAATTCGAACAAATCTAAACTTATTCTAAAATTTGATGCTATTTCCGAAATTTTTTGCTTTCATAAAAAAATAAATAAATTAAAAAAATGCAACAATTATGGCGTTTAACTTTGTTGCAGTTTTTTACCTCACCCTGTATATCGCATTTTCAAATTAAAAGATACCTTTTGCAATTGGAATAAAACCTTTAGCAACGGAAATGTAACTTTTTGAAAATCAAATAAAACTTATAAATTCATAGAAAGGAACATAATAAATCATTGTTATTTGTAGGAGGTATAACATTAGATCAACTAATTATCATGGTACAATGAATTCAAGGTAGGGCAGAACTACCATATGATTTAAATTTTTTTATTTTTCTGGCTTAATATGTCAACTTCATTTGCTTATGTGTGTGTCTTCTTTTCAATAATAAAAAATTGTTCAGAAAATATTCAAATTCGGGTGTTTTCAAAATGCTTATTGCAACGAATGCATCGGCAAAATCTACAGTTTTTGTCGCGAAATAAACCATAAGAGATATATAGAACACTAGCTGAACCCGGTGCGCTTCGCTACCCCTTTTGATTTTATATGCATTCGAAATTTTATTTACGAATATATGTTGGTTAAAAAAAAAACAAATTAAAAATTAAAAAAAAATATTGCACCATTTTAATGCGTAAATAACCAAAACCATTAGAAAGCAGTAACATGACATACATACACGAAGGGTTTGTCTTTCGGATTTATTTATTTCATAGCAAATACCAAGCGTGCAGTAAACTGCAATCTTTTGAATTTGAGTGTCATTTCTATTGCAATTAGTGAATTCGAGATAGCAACATACTTCGCCGTAATAAGCGTATTTCAAATCAATTTTTGTGTTGTTTTTAGTGTTAGCCTAAGGCGTTGTGGGTCAATGGTTCTTATTAAAATCATGTCCCAATCTGATCCGATTTAAATATAATTTAAAAAAAATACTTTTACACCAAACTCCGCCACACCTTTCATATTTCATTGAAATTGGTGCGTCCAATATGTGAAATCATAACTAATTTCCAATTAATTTCTCACATTTATTATTGTAACCAAATTCCGCCACATATTCTGAATTTCATTGGTATCGGTCATATATATCATGTTTGGTGCATAACATGTATGAAATCGGCCGAAATATATATGCTAACTATATTCAAACCTCAACTGATCAATATAATTTGGCAATTTTTTCTGGTGCCAAATTTTGTCTCTCTCGCTTTGGGTGCATCAAATATGTGAAATCGGCTGAGTATATATATATGGGAGCTATAATCAAATCTGAGCGTATTTGAATATAATTAGTCAAATTTATTTTTGTACCAAATTTAGCCACTCATGCCGAATTTCATTGGAATCGGAAATACGTATCGTGTTTTGTGCTTTAAATATGTGAAATCGGCGGAAAATATATATGGGAGCTATATCCAAATCTGAACCGATTTTAATATAATTTGACTAATGTATTTTCTAATCAAAATCCCGTTACATATTCCAAATTTCTTTGGAATCGAACATACATATCGTGTATGGTGCATAGAATACATGAAATCGGCCGAAAATATATATGAGAGCTATATCCAAATCTGAACCGATTTAAATTTAATTTAACAAATTAATTTTGGCTCCCAGTTCCGTTACTTACTTTAAATTTCATTACAATTGGAAATACATATCGTGTTTGGTCCACCAAATACATGAAATCGGACGAAAATGTATATGGGAGCTATATCCAAATCTGAACCGATTTCAATATAATTTGGGAAATCAATTTTTTAGATAAAATCTATCACACGTTTCAAATTTCATTGAAATTGGGGATACATAGCGTGTTTGGTGCATCAAATGCTTGAAATCGGCCGAAAATATATCTGGGAGCTATATCCAAATCTGAACCGATTTTAATATAATTTGACAAATGTATATTTGTTTTAATTTCCGCTACACATTCCAAATTTCATTGAAATTAGAGATACATACAAATTAGAGATACAAAAATATATATGGGAGCTATATCCAAATCTGAACCGATTTCAATTTAATTTGACAAATTCATTTTGGCTCCTAATTCCGTTACTTATTTTAAATTTCATTACAATTGGAAATACATGTCGTGTTTGGTCCACCAAATACATGAAATCGGACGAAAATGTATATGGGAGCTATATCCAAATCTGAACCGATTTCAATATAATTTGGGAAATCAATTTTTTAGATAAAATCTATCACACGTTTCAAATTTCATTGAAATTGGGGATACATAGCGTGTTTGGTGCATCAAATGCTTGAAATCGGCCGAAAATATATCTGGGAGCTATATCCAAATCTGAACCGATTTCAATATAATTTGACAAATTTATTTTCGGATTAAATCCCGTCACACATTCCAAATTTCATTGGAATCGAACATTCATATTGTGTTTGAGGCATCAAATGAAAAAAATCGGTCGAAAATATATATGGGAGCTATATCCAAATCTGAACCGATTACAATATAATTTGGCAAACTTATTTTTGTTCCAAATTCCGTTACGTATTCCAAATTTGGAGACTGTATCTTCAACAAATCAGTAGATATGTGCATATAAAATCTAAATTTTTGGGAGGTACCTCCGATTCTGATGCTATATCTCCAGTTCCAAGTGGAAATTCAAAAATGTATATAGCCTATGTTACTTTCAGGCGATGTTGCAGTATACATGGAAATTTTCAGGAAAATCTATTCAGCGGTTTTCGAGTCCATAAATTACAAACAAACAAACATACAAACATTTTCCTCTTTTATAGATATAGATGATATTGAAAAGAAATTTTGACCATTCATTCAGTTTTCGCGGTTTTAAATTATTTATTCAAAATCAATGCAACAAGTCGTTTGCCTTTTTATTGTTTTGATAGTAATTCTGACATTACAAGCCAAACAGGTAGACCGCTATACTTGCAATTTTTTCAAAGATGACCTACCTTCTCTTCATTGTACCATGCTAATTATTACTAACAACTATATAATAGTGTTTGAGTTTTGCATTGTTAAGGCGAAGATCATATGTTTATAATTTACGTGTTAATTTCACTTCCGAGACGAGACGAAAGGAGTTGGCCGGGGCGCGAAAATGTCTGGTTTTATTGATGTATCTTGCATGGCAGAAGATGTGTGTGTGTGCAAAATTTTTTTATCTTTGACATATCAATGTTCTCAAGTATTGATGCACCTACCTGTATACTTCTACTATGTGTTTACTAACATCTTTAAATAGCTGTAAACATAAACACACGAAAACGAATACAAGCCTTTGGAAAAAATAGTCAAATAAAATGACTTTAATTAATATAAATTGTTAATTATATATATATATATATATATATATATATATATATATATATATATATATATATATATATATAATATATATATATATATATATATATATATATATATATATATATATATATATATATATATATATATATATATATATATATATATATATATATATATATATATATATATATATATATAATCATTCTTGTTCGTTGGTAATGGAATCAGTTGAAAACGGCTGGACCGATTTGCATAATTTTTTGTACAAACGTTCGTCATACCCCGAGTTAGTTTAAAAAAAATATTGACTATGCCTAATTTTACGTTCACTATTTCGATTTATATAAAATCCTTATATTTGCCAAAATAATGAAGATATCGGTTTGAAAATTATTACACGAGATACTGTTGACTTTCCCTCCAATCCTAAGTATTTATTTGGGGGCTGA